TGATTTTTCCACGTGTGACGTCAGCAAGGGTCAAAGGTTGTCTGAAGTCGGATATTACGCCCCCCGTCCCGGTTGAGCGATGGTTGAAGTGCCCTGATGTATACGGCCCTTTTTTATGCCTCTCTTGAAGTAATCCTGTTCGGGGGCGATATCGACTTCAGACAACATTTCACCCTTTGCTGACGTCACACGTGGGAAAAATCACGTGTCTTCAGCATTTGGGTCAGATAGCTGAGGGAGACTGAGTGATTCAGTCGAAAATTTCTGGTGAGTCAAATTTTGAGTTGGAGAAAAGTTTAAGTTTTTCATAATGTAATTTACCAACTGAGATGAACTTTTATGCTGAGGAGAGAATCGTGTCCTCGCACTGAATGAATGAATGGTTTATTTAGATACAAACTACACATCGTACAAAACATGCAGTAGCAGCCATTATCAGCTAAAATGATGTATGATTTACATTACATTGTTAAAAAGCTCCACTCAGTGATACTTAGGTAACGTAGCATTAGGCAAACAACCACAAGGGACAACTGTTAAAATCAGCACAAGATAACAACATTAATTCTAACTCCAACGCTATAAATCATATTCTCTAAGAATAACATGTCATGCATAAACATTAGTATAAATATACATGTGTTACTCGAGGACTGTCTTGGGGTGTTCGGCGTTTAACGGGTCCACTAAGAACGGCAATGTGCTCTTCCTATATCGTTCCGTGCTACATTTAAACTGTGTTACCTGGTGTACCACACAGGAGACACAACTCGTCTGAAGTTTGGATGTGACGATCTGCTCGCACCCTGGGACTGCGGCCTTGGCAGCATCTGCCTTCGCCTTCAGGTCGTTGTAGGCTGCTCTCATTTCATCACGCAAGTAGGAAGCACCGCTTGACTGAAAAGCTGAGAAAATATCGATCATTGATACATTATTTTATAAATAATCCATATTTTCAGATATTCCACGTTTTAGTTTATTGTCACCTATAAACTTTCCTTTCTTTTGTATTTCATGCGTGTATTAGGTTTACCTTGGCAGAAGGAAAAGATCATTGATACATTATTTTATAAATCATCTATATTTTCAGATATTCCACGTTTTAGTTTATTGTCACCTATAAACTTTCCTTTCTTTTCTTAGACTATTTCTTGCGTGTATTAGGTTTACCTTGGCAGAAGGAAAAGATCATTGATACATTATTTTATAAATCATCTATATTTTCAGATATTCCACGTTTTAGTTTATTGTCACCTATAAACTTTCCTTTCTTTTGTATTTCTTGCGTGTATTAGGTTTACCTTGGCAGAAGGAAAACACATTGTTTTTGCTTGTCCAAACAAATAAAGACGATGGTCGGGACCAGACGTCTGTCACCATGGTAACTAGTGCTGTAGCAGACACCCTGTGGTGTTGGGTTACATTATGAAGCAGGACACAGCTGGAGGGGATGCTTACCATACATTATACATGGCTTTGTTTGAATAACAATAAACAGAGCTGTGAAAGTAACATTATGCATTTTATTTGCAAATGGCACATTTCTAGTTGCTATTGCAAATCATGTATTAGTTATTATTAATATTAATACTTACTAATAGGTGGTATAAATTGCTGCACCAACTTGCATTAACTATTTTAAGTGCAATTCAATTTCTCAGTATTTATATCTGCATTTGTACGTGCATCTGTAAAATTGGCACACAATACATGAATAGATCTTCTAATCTGTAGCTATCAGTGGTGAGAGTTACATGTCATAGTAAAAGTATAAATACATACCGACTACGACCGACGAATGGAAGCTCTGCCATGTAATTTCACGCAATGCCCCGGCCTTTTTAGAGGAACCTTATAGAAACACAAAAAGTTATAAAATCATTTATCTCAAAAGTGATTTACATGCAGTTTGTGTAAAAAAAAATGGCATCGTGATGCATGTATCGTGTGACCTTGCAAACAGGGAAAGGAAAAACATTGCTAAACCGCATGTGTGCTCAATTAAAACTCTAGCTGTAACTGATCAGACATCTTGTTGTTGCCTTTGGGCCACACCAAGTAAATTTTATGGATGACGTCCTTTGGAGACCCTAAATCTAATGCGAGAGGGCGAAAAAAAACAAGAAGGGCCCTAAAAAACAAGATGTCTAGATTAGAAATATACTAAGAGACGACAAGTGTTAGGACACAAATTGAATGAGGTGACACAGTGTAACAAGCAAGAAGTCTTTTATTCATCATCAAAACAGCAATAAATCAGGTGGAACAGAAGTTGTCGTCCTGTCCTGTTTTCGCGTTACGGGTTTCACTTCAATCTGACGATTTGTGGCACTGTCGTGACTCTTTGGTCATAGTTACAGGAAGCAGAATTTCTTGTTTTTTTTTCTAGGAACAGGCCAAAATCAATGCGCGCGCGGACGTCATCCATAAAATTTACTTGGTGTGGCCTTGAATTAAAAAAAAAGAATGTCTAAGAATGTCGGTGATAATTAGAAATGAGAAAGAAATATGTTTCCGATAAAACATTGCATGCATTTAATATTTTGGAAAAACGCATGTTGTTTGATGAGTATTTGACCATGCAAGGAAACTACCATATTTTGGCTCGCCTAGCGACTTTTTTTTTTATTCCAACATGTAATCACCAGACGTGGTGACGACACACTCAAGTTTTGTCAACTTATATTACTGCCGCCACCAACACAGGGGACAAATACATGACATGACAATACTCATTTACACCTGAACTAAGTGAGGAAAGCCGTGTAAAGTGCCTTTCCCAAGGGCACAAGATCGGTGGCATGTCAGGACTCGAACCCGGGACTCTGCCGCTACGCCACACAACCCCACTTAAGCCTAAGCCTAGCGACTTTGTTTGACACTACAACAGGACATATACCTGCCATCGTTCTCAGTTCATAGGCACACAGACGAGTTTGTCTTACCTTTGAGAGGACGGAGAAGTCGACCATTGTCTCCTGCCAGGACCGTGCCTACCAGCAACGCCAGAAAGAATGCCTGTCATTGAGAAAAATAGTTGTAGTTCCCAAATGATAAAAATGAAATGATTATATCGTAGCTACGTATATCTAATCATATAATAATTTAACGTTTTCGGAGAATGAAGACAATTATATTAGGCCACACCAAGTAAATTTTATGGATGACGTCCGCGCGCGCATTGATTTTGGCCTGTTCCTAGAAAAAACCCCAAGAAATTCCGATTCCTGTAACTATGACCAAAGAGTCACGACAGTGCCGCAAATCGTCAGATAGACGTGACACCCGTAACACGAAAACAGGACAGGACGACAACTGCTATTCCACCTGATTTATTGCTGTTTTGATGATGAATAAAAGACTTCTTGCTTGTTACACTGTGTCACCTCATTCAATTTGTGTCCTAACATTTGTCGTCTCTTAGTATATTTCTGATCTAGGCCTCTTGTTTTTTGGGGCCCTTCTTGTTTTTTTTTCGCCCTCTTGCATTAGATATAGGGTCTCCAAAGGACGTCATCCATAAAATTTACTTGATGTGGCCTTACTTCGCAAAGCAGACAGGTCTCTCTCACGAACACAAATGCTGTAGATAACTCACACTGCAGGGCATAATTATCAAGTCAAGTAATTATCAATGAATGTTTATAGGGTTCGTTTGACGTTAAGCTTCGGTCACAACCCGCCGTACGTGCATTTTCTCCGTACGTTTTTTGGGAGGCTACGTCTGCTACGTTTTTCTGAAAACGTGGGGAAGGAGATGCGTCTACGCACGTCACTCGCACGGTTGCGCAAAGTGTAAGAGTGGGGTCTGCACGCCAAGTCTGGCCATGAGCGGTTGCGTGCATCGTACGTTGCGCAAGTGGTAAGTGAGTTGTACGTGCTTACAACGTACGATCTCTGTGCGATTGCAACTTTACCGCAAGGAGGCCGTACTCACACGTGCTTCTTCCGCACGGCACGTACGGGGCACGCGCGTCGCCCGTACTCGCACGCACGGGTAGTGAATCCGCAGACCGCACGTAGAAAAAGTTTTACATGCACTTAAAGTTTTACGGCATGTCTGCGTGCTCCCAAATCCGTAGGATTCCGTACGGAGGCGGTACTCACCACGCACGGATGCCCTACGATTGCCCACGCTTTTGCACGTAGACAGCACGCAGATGCACGTACGGCGGGTTGTGACCGTAGCATAACTGCAGAGTGCTCGGCTCAGAACCAAGAGATCCCGGGTTCGATGTCCTGACATCCTACCAATCTTGTGCCATTGGGAAAGGCACTTAACACGACTTCTCTCACTATATTTAATTTTAACTCAAGTGAAAATTAGTATTGCCCTGTCCTGTATTTATCCTATGCGAAGGTGGCACCATGAAATAAGTTGAAAAACATGAGTGTGCTGTCACCATGTGTTGTCATGACCTGTATAATAGAACATGCCTAGGCGTATCCTTGTAGAAGCCATTGCTTATGGAACATTAGAGATCACTATTTATTGCAATGCAAATTTTATAATACTGAAAGGACCAAAATGTTGTTATCCATATCTTGCCTTCATCTTGAAAACATACTCCCTTCTGACCCACTCAACGCAAACGACGCCACATTATGTACTTTACTTCTTACAGGTAGCCCCTCCCTCCCATACCTTACTAACTGCCGTATCTTTGATATTGTGTTCAACTATATCCACCACTCTGGAAGATTTGACCAATCTCATTAATGTCTATGCTATAGGTATTGGTGCGGCCAGCCACTTTCATTTCATGTTTATGTTACACTTTATGTCATCTTTATGTTTACTTTTGTATTATGTTTTATGAGCAGCGGATTCACATAAGCACAACAAGTGCTTCCTATCCAATGCTCAAAAATCCATGTGAACAAGGAAAATCGTAGATTTTGTACCTCTGGGTATTGAAATGTGTGTTGCAGAATGTTGGGTGCATGTTGGGACTGTTCTTTAAATTAGTGAATTCGCGCGAATACCATTTTTTCGAAAAGTTTCGAAATGTTTGTAATTGGCTAAATGATCTGTGAAATCACTAATCCCCCTAGCCGACTGGAGCCCAAAAATAGAAAGGACAGGGGGCATCCCGTGGCGAATCTGGCTGCCCGACCCTCAGCGACCAGCGATAATGTAAACAAACACCCGCTCCGGGCGCCAGCCGCCAATCGTCCGGTGCGCGTGTTACCCTTCTAACATGTAAGTAAGGCCATGTTGATTTGATTATATGGATGACATCCTCTGGGAACCCCAAAACTGATGCGCGCGTGCGAATAGTAAAATCTGAGCTTTTTATTGTATACTTTTATATGTTGTTTGTTATATACATGTAGTTGATGGTGTTGAATTTTATGTGTTAGATTTAGCCTTCCTGGTTGTGTTAACACAGGTCAGTATTTTCATCTGCAGCCTATAACATGTACCCACGAACGGGCCGCCACGAACTTATGCCACAAGGTCAAGGAACTCGTAATGAAACTCAGAATGACAACCGGAGCCGTTAAATGGAATCAGACGTTAAAAATAACTGCTGAAGTACCTCCTCGCATGTGCAAGTCATCCTTATTGTCACTTCCTCCATTTTCCGCCGATTCTTCGTATAAATTGGGGAAGTAAAGGTCTGAATCCGCGGTATTTGTAAGTTAGAAGTCGTAATATACGCCGAAAACAGCCAACACAAAGGTTGCGCAACAGTACGTTGACCCCTGACCCATTGGCTAACCAGGAAGTGCCGATTACGTGTCCTGTGAACGCGTACTAAAGTATCCCCCCAGCGGGTCCCACCAGGCACGATAATGAGACGTTGATTGACGGCACATGTGGTTCACATCTGAACAGTTTCAAAGAAAGAATTTATCGACAATGCTGACACCCCTCTGTGTGAAAGGTCAGATCAGTGGTCGCGACCTCAATCGTCCTTATACATGCAAAGGTCAAAAGCTGAGGCCCACTTTCACACTGAAAGGGGTGTCCATCGGCGGTCTAAACGCATCATTTTGACGCACTAAAACACACATACTAAAAAACCAAAACAACGTGCACCATCTACAGCCCAACAGCAAAACGTATACCAAGTCCCAGACATATCCGTCCACCCAAACGCGAGAAACGGGTGCGAACGCAATTTTCGTCTTCCCTCACAAAACCTCCGCGCTCGGGATATACATCCCTACCCGGAGGTAATAAAATGAAATAAAAAACAGCAGAGATGACCCACCCGTACTCTTCTTTCTTCGCCACACGTCCCTCACTGACTTACCCATGCTACGGACATTGGTAGAAGGCAGATAAAACGATAACACAGGGCCGTCCATGTTGCAAAGTAGTCATGGCCAATCTATTCAATAGCGAACGAACGGTTTTACAGTGGACTACGAGAATTCAATATTTTCTGCATACATGTGTGGCTACACTTTTACTTGTTTCGGGCATGAATTTCTAACACAAGTGCGTTATAAAAAAAAGGTCAATACCTTGTACATGATGTCCGTGCTGTATACTGGTGAAGGTGTATCAGTCAAGCGCGCTGGAGTTCGATGATAGAAGTGATTTCCTGTGCGAGGGTGTCGCAAGTTTTTATATTGTTGGGGCATATCTGTTTGTCCTGTGTTAAGGAAGAAAGAAATCGATCACAGGATGTCGGATTTTTTTCATGTCAGCAGGAAGCTCATGGACTTGTATTGACAATTTTGAAGTATTTGTAGATAAGAGCAGTGACAATTTACAAATCGTGTATATTTTTGAACTTGTTTTCGTATAAAGATGTGGTTTTCTCATGCACTTTGATACTAGGCTGTCCGGTCAGGATTCGGTCGGTCATGGGTAGATAATGTGAAAATTCTGTGACTCCTTAGTGGTGAATGGTGATACCTTGTCACATGTGTAAGTTACTTAAAGGTTAACACCACTATGCATATATTATGTTAATGGTGGTCACTTGCATAATTAATGAAGGACATGTTGAAATGAAGTATGACAAAGTAGAGGAATTTTGCACGAAAAATATTACCATTTGAATTTAGAAAATCATAAATTAAACTAGATTATGCTAATTATTACCTCATTTCCATAGTCAATAAGACAAAAAAAAAACATTTACAAAAACTCATATATTTCATGGAGGTGTGAGATCTCCAAATATTTTTTTGATTCTTAATTTCAAATTTTAATTTTAATTTTTTTAGAACAGCCTAAAATCAATGTGCGCCTGGATGTTATCAAAAAAATTTAATCGGTGAGGCCTTACACGTGAAGATCATTATATCCGGAAAGATAAGAAACATACATTGACTGTTTCAGAGGATTTCATTGATTAAAGTTACATGCTGTGGCCTAATTGCAAACATGGTAAGAGTGTGTGCTGAGTGTATAATATATACTAGTATCTCCTATACATGCCACTACAAGACTAGTCTGTGGTAATGATCTTTGAGTGGCAGACCGGTAGATTTTAAACTTGGCCTTACAACGGCAAAAACATTCAAATTCCCCAGTTATAACGTTAATGTTACTCTATAATAACAGTACATAAAAATCAGTAATATAAGCAAAATATCCTTCTACCCATCCTTTACTAATAAAGGTATAACGCTAAATCGTAGGCAAGACCATCCTGAGGTAAACATATTGCATTTGCTTGCAAATGTTACCTTTCTAGTTGTTTTTTTATTACAGATTTGGGTTACAGAGTAAGGATCTAGGTATGATCGAGTACTGTGACTGTCTTGTTTGTCACCTATGGAGGAAAAGTGGGAGTGAACAGGCCGGGACTCATTGGTAAGGAATATGTATAAAATATTACATGTACGTCCCACAAATTATTGTCTATTGATTGTATCATAATACATGTTTAAGAAAGTACTAAGTATACAGTTTGTTATAAAATATTGACGTGAATTGTTGAATTCTATTATTGACTTCAAACCCGTTTTTCTTTCTAATTAAAGGCTTCCAGCAACTACATTTGTACTACTTAAGTAATTGGTGCTTTGTTGTTCTACCTGTTGCCTAGTTACTTATGTGATTTAATACTGAAACACGCTTTATAATAAATATCATTTCTGACTAATCTTTTGCTCAAAAGTTGCGGGACATATTGTATACATTAATGTATGCGAATGATGGAGAAAACACCGTTCCACGTCAAAAGTACCACGATCTCATACCTTTGCCTATTTGCACACAGTAATTGTCATCTCCGTAGCTCCCATACTCCCATACTCAGTAGCCTGGGCTCTCATACTCACCACTAAAAAATATTTCTTGGGGGGGGGGGGGTATGGGAGCCCCGGCATGGAAATAGGATGGTACCCAGGCTATTATCTCCACATAGAATGTCGCTAAATTCATTTATCGGATGGGATTTATTCAATTCTTCTGAAAAAGCAGAAAGAAGTGTGAATAACTTTGGGTGTTTATCATCAGATTGTGAACACTCCATGATAAAGTAACTTTCATCTTCAATATTTTTTAACAGATTGGGTATTAATGTTCGCTTGTGGAAGATTCAATGAGATCGAGAATGTGTAATGATTTGGTTGTCAGTTCAAAAGGAACATTTGCATGCAAAGAATGGATAATGTAAATTCACATCAAAATAAAATCAACAAGTATATTAGTAGTACATCAAGTTACGGTAAATACAACTAATAATTTACTGACAAGACACCAGTGTCACCAGAAAGACTGCAATTAATGCAAAATGAAGGTTGCATTGCAAATCGATATGCTAATTGTTTTCATTAAAAGCTTGATCACACTAATTTAGTTAACAGTTATATACAAGACATTTAGGCAACGCCAGTTGCTTTTCTTGGTTCTCAAGTATTTCATAGTGAAAGTCCAACAAGATCTCATATTTTCACATTAAAGTCGTACTTCACTACAAATTATACATGTATGCACATAGGTGCTGCCTTTTCTCAGAATACTATGAATAGTTCATTTCCCGAGCAATTTCCCGAGCAGCCTTCGTAATCCGTGCTTCTCCTATCGAGACAGTCAGTCAAACTTGCCCAAGCCTGATGTTTCTACACAAAGGCAGAAGAGATGCTGCTGCAGTGAGCGTTAGACCAGTGCCCAGAAGTGGCCCTTGTGGCTTTACACCTTTAAAGCCATTTAAAAATTATTTTGTTCTTCATTCAAGTCTCCTTTCTTGACTTAGTTTCAGATGCCAGGTTTCTCAGCCATACAAGAGTGTTGACAGGACGTTGCTGTTGTAAAAGCGCATCTTGGTCTTGAGGGACAGTTTCTTGTTTCTCCAGAGTTTGCCCAGCTGGTTAAATGCTGCTGAAGCCTTACCAACTCTGCAGTCAAGTTCTTTGTCCATGTCACCATTGCTATTGATGGAGCTTCCAAGATAAGTGAAGTTTTGAACTATTTCCACTTCCTTCCCATCAATGAACACAGATGTAGGTGGCGGATGAGATCCTGTCAGCATATTCTTGGTCTTCTTGCCACTGATGGTGAGACCTATTCCTCCTGCTGTGGTACCAATCTCGCTCACTAGGGCCTGGAGGTCCTTTGTGGATTCTGCTAAGCCGGCAATATCGTCTGCGAAGTCAAGATCAGACAGTCTTTGTCCTTGCAGCCATGGTATTCCTTTATCCTTAGTTGACTGTTGCAGCACCCAATCTATGGCAAGGGCAAACAGAATTGGAGACAGCACACATCCCTGGCGGACCCCAGTCACCACCTCAAACCACCCGCTGAACCCATCATCTGTCCTTACACAGCATTTGGAGTCAGCATATATGTGTTTGATGGCTGAAATGACTTTGTTGGGTAGTCCGTACATTTGCATGATGTTCCATAATGAGGGCCTGTGAATGCTATCAAACGCTTTAGTAAAGTCAATAAAGCTGATAGCCAGTGTGGACTGAAACTCATTGCACTTCTCTATTATGCGTCTCAGGGTGAATATTTGTTCCGCACAGGATCGCTTGGGTCGGAATCCTGCCTGTTGCTCCCTAAGTTCTTCGTCAACTGCATCTCGTATGCGGTTCAGGATAGCATGGCAGTAGACCTTTCCTGGGATGGACAGGAGTGTAACCCCTTTCCAGTTGTCGCATTCTGCAAGGTTGCCTTTCTTGGGGATGCAAACCACTACTCCATTTCTCCAGTCCTCTGGTACTTCCCCCCGGTTCCAGGCATTGTTACAGAGCTGGCACATCCATTTGACAACGGATTCCCTTCTAGCTTTTAGCATTTCTGCGGTAATGCCGTCCATTCCTGGGGACTTGTTGTTCTTCAGGTTCTTTATGGCCTCATGTATTTCCGGCTCAGTAAAGTCACTGGTGTCAATCGGGAGGAGGTGAGAAGGTGGGTCGGTGACTGCTGGTGAAGTTGGGTCTGGTCTGTTTAGAACTTCCTTGAAGTGCTCTGCCCACCTGGCAAGCTTGTCCTCTCCTTTGGACAACAGGGTACCAACTACATATTACTATTACACTAAATTCACTTGTCTTTTACACACACAGAATCAGTTACCTACAATGTAGGTTCCTTACTGCCTTTACCTTTATTTACCCTTGTCTATTTGTACAGGTCACTTCAGCTTGTTTTGTAACTACATGTAACATATTGTACATGTCCACTGGTAATCCATTTTACAGTATTATTGGGCTTAGCAGTACAAAAGAAGAAAAATGAGGAGAGCAATTATACTTAATACAATCTCGTTTAAAGTTAAAACGTTTGGTCCAACACAAAAAATTCTCTCACCTAAAGCTTTCGACCAGTCACTCTGGTCTTCCTCAGTAGACTGACCCAGTGAGGATTGTCACGTGGCTTCTTTGAAGTGTGACGTCAACACTGGGTCAAAGGTATCTGGTAGACGATGTCGGCCCCGTCGCGGTTCAATGTAGGGTGATGGGCCCTGATGTATATTGCTTCCTTCACTCCTCTCAAGAAATAGTCTTGTTCAGTGTCTAAAATCCTTACAGTGTCAAGTGAAACAAAATGTCCGGGTGACTCTATGTGGATGTGTTGAACTGGCAGAACTAGGCCGTGTATGTTCTTGAAACCTGGCTTTTAGAGACCTCTCTGTTTCCCCAATGTACGTTGACGTCACACTTCAAAGAAGTCACGTGACAAGCTTCACTGGGTCAGTCTACTGAGGAAGACCAGAGTGACTGGTCGAAAGCTCTAGGTGAGAGCATTTTTTGTGTTGGACTAAAAGTTTTAACTTCAATAATAGTTTAATATAAATGATAGTTTAATATAATCTCCTCTGTCTGCAGACTGTACCACGTTCAACACGGCTGTAACTGATTACCAAGCAGCTATTCAGAGCCACTTTTGGGTCACCACTATTCCTGCACATAACCAGAACTTTGTCATAGACCAGGTACGGCATAGTGACATTTCTTCTCAAATGTTCAAAAACTGTTGTTACACATATAGATGTATATTAAAAAAATTCAATATTTCCTTCTATCTCTACGGGCCTATCATAATCAAATCTATACTATTATAATAGTAACTGTTACAAATTTTAAGTTTAAACATGAAAAGAAAAACTCACCATGAATTTTTGATTGAACCTTTGTCAGTTGTGTGATCCACTCAAATCAAAGCACAATGACGTCAGGAGTGAATAAAAAAAGAGTACAGCTGATGAAGGTTGACGTGTTCGAACGAAAATGCATGTTTTTTCTTTTCGTGTTGCTTAAACGTTGTAACTAATATAATAAATATGTATTCTACCAACACATACATGTATGAGCTTTCATTCAAGACTCTACAACTACTTGCTGTATCTCCCTCTTTACAGGTGATGGTGGATGGAAGCTCCGTTGACTTTACCACCGGAGGCTACACCCGTGTCGAGGTGACCGTCACGATGTTCGGGGAGACCTACACCTTCAACCTGGACAACGGCTACAGCCCGTTTGATCCAGGCGCATCTGGACAAGAGATTGCCCACAAGGCAATTGACCACTACAAGGCTAGCCACCCCCCTCCCTCAGCTAAAGTGTACACATTTGGACACAACTAATTCATGAGTGGCATCTCATGATCATGTCCTTGAAAATAAAGCTTCATGTGCTCTAAAACTCACCACATGACTTTGTTTCTTCTTTTGTTCTTTAGGCTGCAACAATTGAATTTGTTGGTTCTGATTTTTTTCAGGAAAAATATAGAGGCAGGGCAAACAATAAGAACAGGCCTACAGATTTAAGGCATATCCTACATATGATAGCGTCAAATGCTAAGATAGAAGCCATGACATCAACATACCTGGCTGGTTTGTAATTCAAACAATAAATTTGAAACTTTTAATATAAAACAACTAACTACATTCATAGATAGAGTGAAAAACTACAAACTCTGAAGAGTTGGGACTTTCTTCAACCGTTGGGGCCAAAATATGAGCATTTTGGAGTTGATCCAGAACCTGAATTTTTTTTTAAACCAGAAAAAAATGTTGCAGGTGAATCTGAGAACCAACAAATTAAATTGCTGTGGCCTTAATATACAACTAGAAAACATTTTGTACAATCTTTCTTAACTTCCCCCAAAAGTAACAAAAAATATCTTATTGTCCTATAGAAATCCTTTTGTTTGCTTTCTTCTCTCTGGGCTGATCTTCTTTTCTCAGGCTGCTGTTGGTTTTCTCCAAAATCTGGTAGATGTCCAGAGCATCTCCTGTACAGAACAAAACATGCCCAACTCAAAAGTTGCATTCAGTGAATCACCATTTTTTCTAGGGTCTTGGAAAACAGCAGGGCTTGAAATTTATTTTTGGGAATAGGTGCACTGGTGCACCCGACCTTAAAAATTGGGTGCACAAAAAATATTTTAGTATTATATAGAATGTCTGTAAAAACTATTTCATTTCAAGAAAAGCACTATAACAATGATTAATATATGTATTATTTTTCTGACACTAAGATGTTAAGAATATGCTGTATGTAACTACTTAAATTACATTTAACATCTTTACATACATTTGTACATTAAACCTAAGAAACTATTTGGGTGCATTGGT